TCAAACTTAGTTTTATTAATTGATACATTAAGTATCATGGGTATCTTTTTACAAAGGTGCGTTTGAACTAAGAATCTGATGCTGAATATCAAATGGTTCCATAACTTCATATTTTTATTTCTCTGCTCTTTACTGCTTAAGCTTTAACCCTTTCCTATACCAACTGTATGCATGTGTTTATGTAGTATGTTAGACTAGTTTAAGTGTTTATGTAGATAATAAAGTCTTACTTGTATCACACCTGACGTTGTTCATTGTTTGCTCATAACTGGAGTCCTTTAATCATGCAGATTTATGCTACAGGTCCTGTGTAGAATTGTACAGTAAGAAAGTTATTTCCCTTAACCAGGAAATTAACGTTCTTAGAATTGACAGACAGTTGACCCTGAGAGGTCAAGTTAATACTTACAGCGGATCTAAATATTTATAATTAATTATAACTAGTTATTATTAATTATTCATATTTCCCCTTGAGCTGATTCGCTACAAAGTCATATTTTGACTAATAATTGAATAAATTGAAAAAGCTCCCACCTGTATATGACTAAACAAAATAACATGTAGTTTACTTGAGGTTCTGCTATAAATGTGTCTATTAGAAACATTAAATTAAATTAATGAATTATACAAAAAATTGTTTGAAATTAATTAAGACTTCCAGAGTTTTTGAACGGAAGTCCTGAATGACTGTTATTAAAGGTCATTTAATGAATTTTAATGATATCCAATGCTCCGCAGAAACCCTGCCTTTGTTGGAAATGTAAATAAATTATTTGAATTATGTTTGATTATGTTATAAAAACAAGTACGCGTGGTCAGTAGGCTACTGCGCATGCGCAGGCTGTGTGAAGAAGCCCGATACTACTCGAACCTGTACAAACTGTCGATAAAACAATATAAAGACAGCCAGATGTACAATAACTCTGGGCAATTCTTTGTTCACATGTTTGTTTATTGTTCAAGCCGATCTACTTCGCATGTATGGAACACGTCCGCAGAGCGGACAGTTTCAGTAGTATAATTGCAAGTAGTCCGGATTGTACGTGCGGAAAGTATATCACAGGCTTAAGACGCTCAAACCTCAAGACGTTCGGATAGACGTTCGATTTCTCGTTCGAACGAAGATTTGATTTTAGCATGGAATACGCTTCATACATTTCTCTGTTCACGCTCCACTTCATCTGCCAGTGAATTCAACGATCTTATCAGACCTCCAGCCACCATGTTTCAAACGATCCAAACGTACGTCAGCTCGGAATGCATTTTCAAATTGAATTTTGCTACAGATATCCCACGGCGTCATGATGAAAATGCAATCCTAAGTGTTCTAACTGTAAGTCTAAATGCACTTAGGACAAATAGCATTTAAATGATAATTTTGCTACCATTTCTGCTTGAACATGTTACACATATCAAATCAATTTGTGTTATACATTTTCAGTTCGCAACTTCTAAAGGGTTCAAATGTGCATGCAATTTACATATTAAGACTACTGTTGGAAATGGCAAATGTAAATTATATAATTTAATTTTCATTTTACTTTTTCACCAAACTTTGCACGTATGGGTAATGGAACATGTAAATTTAAGAAATACAATTCCATTTTGAATATTGCATTGCCATTTTGCATATTGCATTTTAAATTGAATTTCGCTACCTATATGCTTCCATAATTTCGCGCTTTGATATGAAAGGATACTATCGAAAGTCAAATGGTTCAGAATTTGCGTGCTTTTCACAACCATATCAATATTAAAATGCCATTTTCATAACGCCGCCAGGCGTTAAATAAGCGCAGTTTGGAGATAAGTTAACGGCAGACGCCATCACGCATTAAAACAATGCCACACGCCGACCGACGTTAAGTTGACGCCACATGCCACTTAAGATGCAGATTTATTTGCTCATCTACATGGACACACCTCTCATGGCTACGAGGACTCTACGGCAAGTCGGAGCATCCAGTTTGCAAGAGCGCGAAGAGGGCAAGGACAGCCCTTATAATTCTAGATATAGGGGGAAATATACCCCTGAATGAGCTTTTGTCTCATAAAGTTATCACACGAGTCACGAATGAGTGAAAATTTGGAAATTATTTCATACAACAGTTAAATGAATAAGAAATTAATATTATTACTTTATTATTATATTATATTTTGAGTAGCATTTCAGTTTAAAATATAGTTGGGGATAATTTCACAATAATTGAAAATCTGTTTATTTACATTTACTCACCCGATGTTGTTTCAAACCTTATGTCTTTATTGCTTTTGAGGAACATAGGACGATATTTTGAAGAATGCTGGTAACCAAACTGTTTTAGTCAGTAAATATGTCAATTCAGATGCAGTTTCTGAAAAAAAAGTATAGCAGGTGTAATTCTAAATTAAATATTTATTTTTAAAGCTTTAGATTTTGTTTGCTTTTTCTCATTCTTTGCTTTTCTCATTTAACACAATTAGGCTATATGACTTTAAAATATCTTTTGAGGGTACTTTTATTTTTCCTTTTTAAAAACATAACATAAACTGAAATGATAGTCATCGAATTGAGGGGGGCTGGGGGGATCCGGGACCCCCTATAAGGCATTAGGGACCCCCCCATAAGAAGTAAAAAAAAAAAAATAGAATTAGGGGGGGTCCCCCCAGATATTTTATATTAGTATCGACAACAAAGACAAATTTTAAAAAACTCACGCAGTTAGGATAGTAAATGAGATTAAAGGGACGGAGTCCGCGGAGTGAATTTCGAGGGGGGACGGCGTTTCACTTCCAACTGGTCTGCAGACTGCAGCCAATAAATGCTTATCGGTGTGCCTCAGATCGTCAAAGCAGACTGCAGTTTTGTCATTCATTATAACAAACAAAGTGTAGAGATGATGTAATAATAGATTTTTAAAGGGAGTTTGCAAATGTGAAATTGAATTTACCTACAACAGTTTTGTAAATTTTTGATTTTATACAAAAGTTAACATAAGGACTTACACACTGTAAAAAAATAGCTGTAAAAATACAGGAATTTTCCTACAGTAAGGCACCGTTCTTCGTAAATACAGTTGAATACTGTGAATGATGATAGCTTTGCGGAACAAATTATTAATCGCAAACTACTGTTTAATTTTACGGTATAAAACAGTATTTTTTAAGTCTAGTCACGTGTGCGACAATGAGACCGCTCATAACTCCTCAGAGCAAAACCACGACGCATCATGACGCATTTTTCCCCCCATCTGAGCAAAATAACAATGCATCAAGTGTCTTCAGAAGTAAATGTGTACAGAAATATTAAATAACAAAGGAGGAAGAGGTGATTTTTTTTTTGCCCAGACTGTGAGCTGCCAGCACCACCAAACTGAACACTGAGCGCGTATCAAACTGAAACCACAGTCAATTAATCGATAATAATAGGCTAATTAAAAACACATTAATGTCAGGATCATGGACTGTCTGTGTCATGTTTTGCC